AAAAAAAAAAAAAAGGAAGAGGGGGGGGGGGGGGAGAACAGAATGCATAAGTTCCGGCACCTCCACGATTGCTAGTTTAAAGACTCAGAGAGGGGCAGGAAAAACACACGCACGCATACGCGCATCCTTATCATTCTTACAATTGCATACCAAGGCCACACCTACGAAGGGATCAAGCCAATGCCTTTGTACAATTCCACCCAACAAAAAAAAAGGAGGCTATTTGATACAAATGAAAAATTGAACCTAATTTACAGAGGTCAATCATTTAGAGAAGCCATGGAATGACTATTCGTGGATAAAAGCAGGGATATTCAATACAGTGCATGCTTGTGCTTTTCCTACCTCGCTTTGATGCTATATAAGGCTTTGTGTTCCACCAAGACAAACAATCGCTTGGTGGGTGCCTGTTGCGTAGATACAGCTGCACCAAAATGGATTCAGTTGCATCCTCAACTTGTGATACTCGCAAGTGCACGAGCCGTTTGGTAGTATAGCATATGTAAGTGCGAGGTCGATCCCACGAGGATTGGTGATTGAATGATCCAATTCATTTTCCCTACACAAAACAGAAATGAAAAAGAAAGGAAATAAATAAAACAAGGAAGAAAGAAAATAACTAACTCAAGTAGATAAGTTCCCAAGTTCAATTAGATTAATGGATTGATTCTAGCTAAAGTATGATTAAGCCATGGTGTGTGGTCATAACCTTGTGTTCCTAATTCCCTAATTTGATCATTTGTTGTCTAACCTAAAATTAAGCATTAGGAACCCATTAAGCATAGAAGAACAATTTAAACAACCAAGCATGTATCTAATCCCTGTTGTCGAATGTCCATACATACTCTTCCTATTCATAGTTCAATTCGAATTAAAGCATGGTGTATACTCTTAATTCAAACCAAGATAGCTAACATACAAGCCTAAATGGTGATCAATCATTCAAACTAGCACATTAACTTATAAGCATAATGAATAAGAACAAAAACCATAATTGAAACATGGAAACTAATTCAACTTGAAAACTTAAGAAAAGAATTTACATAACAAAGAAAAATAAATTACAACTAAGAAAACATTAAAGAAAGCTAGAACTGAGAACTAGAAAG